AAAATTTATAAAAATGTATTTCAAGGCGTTTACATGGGATACATACTTCATTTTCGTATAGGGGGGCCAACTTGCCCCGACCCTGGGGCCAACTTGCCCCGTGGCGGGGCAAGTTGGCCCCCTTTGACGTCAACTGCGTTTTTCTTCAAATTGTGAGCCATTTGGCATTATATTTGAAAAATAATGACGTTGCATACGTAGCTTAGTTCATAGGGCTTACTTTGAAACCGGTTTTGTTACTCTAACCCAATCCTAGTTGGCTCTACAAGGCCAAAAGTGTCTAACTGGGCCAACTAGCCCCGGTCTCCCCTAAGACTACACCTTACAAATGCTAACTTTGGCAGTATCACTGAAGTTAAGTTTCTATTTTTGAAAGAGAGTTAAGTCGTAATTATACTGGTAATGTTGTCTACTATATACTTACATACAGGAACGCTATTTAACAGCCTTTGTTGAAATTCAATTAACAATTTATTTAATTAAGTTTTTGTTTAAATCAGCATACAGTATCGGCAAATTTCTATTGGTTTTGTAATGGATACGCGTCGTTTTTGAATTTTTTTATATCAAAATATTTTAGAGAAATTTAATCCCAGTAATTCAAGCAACGGCTTGTTTCAAATTGTTTAAACTTTATAGTTTTTAACAACAGTCGTTCTGTTCTTTCAGGCCCTTCAACAAATATGTGGAGGAAAACACTAACAGAATTTTTAAGAAAATACCTAATTAAAAAAGAAATAAGCCGTTTAAAAACTAAGACGTGGTGACAATATCTGACACAGCTGATGATTTTTGAGTAATACCATAAAAGCTGAAATCATGGTATTCTTTGACAGAGATAAGAAGTTGCATTACCTAAGAATATTAGATCCATCCTATGATAAGCTCAGTTTTGAAGAAGATCCACAACGGTTGCGGCTGGAGGACCTGGCAGGCTGGACCGAGTTGCGTGCAAGTTTTGCCGAACTCAATGCACTTCCAGCAACGATTGGGTGGTGTAAGAATCTAAAAGAACTTTACTTGCAAGGCAACAACTTGACGTCGCTACCGATCTCTCTGTGTTACGCCAAAAATCTCACAGTTTTAGACATTTGTGCCAACAGCCTGTATGAATTCCCTCTTTCTATATGCAATAACGAGAATTTAGAAACAATATATCTTAGCGGCAACCACTTACACAACATTCCCCCAGATGTGTCAAAACTGACTAAACTGAAACGTTTATGTTTAAGTGACAATCAGTTCACGATATTTCCTGAGGAAGTGTGCAATATTCCGAATCTCGAAGTTTTATACCTGTGGCGAAACATATTATCTTCGCTACCAGAAGCCACGACCAATCTGTCAAAGTTATAAACACTTGATATTTCGAGGAACAGTTTCCTTGAATTCCCAACGCCTGTTTGTTTTCTTCAATCAATTGAGTCCTTGAACATTTCTGGTAACAGAATAGAGGTTATTCCAAATGATATTTCAAGACTGACCAATATGTTGATATTTGACATTAGATGGACTGGTGTAACAAAGTTGCCGTCTTCTATGTCACAACTAACGCAATTAAAGTCGTTACTGTTAGAGGAAGACAGCATGGTAAGACCACCTGCCACAATTTGCCAGCATGGAACTGACGCAATTCTCCAGTATTTGTTCGCACTGCTGGAAACCAGAGCAACTAAGGCATGTACCCTGCAGCTAAATTTCTTGGGCGAGGTGGCGCGAGGCAAGACCAGTTTGTCAAGAACATTGCAATCTGGGACGCCATCCTTAACCTCTTCCGTAGATAGAACATCGGTTGTTGAGCAAGGCACATGGAACCCAGAGGACCACATACGATTTAACATCAACGATTTTGGCGGCCACCAATCGTACAGAGTGGGGCACCCGCTGTTCATCTCAGAGGCTGGTGTTGTATGTATCGTGTTTAACTCCCTTCAGTATGATCCATTATCGGAAGAGGATTTTACGAACAACATTGGCGACTGGATTGACATGATTCAGTCTAGATATCCTGGTATAGACTTGGTGGTTTTGGGTACACATGTTGACAGGTGCGATGAAGTGAAAGTTGATGAAATCCGTTGCAGTATACAACGAAGAATGCAGGCTCAAGCTGAGAAAAAGCAAATGTTGCTGGACCAACAAATCGAACATTTGGAGGAACAGATTAGTAGAAACAGACGTTGCGATCTCCCTTTCCTGGAGGCTTATCGAGACAAGTATGAAAATCTGAAGTCTCTACGTGAATGCACTAAAAATAAAACTCATCCAATTTTCATGGTCAGTTCACAAACATTGCTTGGGTTTGGCGATCTAGAAATATATCTTATAAAATTAGCAGAGGCAAAGAAAGTGGAACTGCCAAAACGCTGGTTAGATTTAGCTAGCACTATACTAAAAGATTCAGGGAACTTGCTCACAATCGACTACGATTATCTTAGACAGAAATTCATGAAGTTGAACGATGTAACCATAGACTTGGCGCCTACCAATGCGAGCAGTGAATTTAATAATGTTATGTGCTTTCTTGCTTCCAGCGGAGAAATCATTTGGTTCGAAAAGCACCCTGCCTTGAAAAATACCATTTTTCATAGACAGCGACTACTTGCCGACTTACTACGGGTTGTACTGGACCACAATAATTACGCTCGAGTTAACTTTTTTCTTCAGGAAGGTTTAATTACACAGATGGAGATGGACGACTACACTTTAAGAGGAATCGTCTCCAGAAATCTGTTGAAGAATTTGTGGAAGACATTCAACCTTAACCATTTTGACATTGACACAATGACAGAATTGCTGAAATCATTGGAGCTGTGTTATGAGGTACCATGCAAATCCATTATGAGCAAAGACAGTGCCTACCATTTCCCTTGTTTGTTGACGGAAGGGAAACCAGAGCATCTTTCAACAAAATGGCCGCACGAGATTTCCCATGAAAAGCACCAATTAAGCCTGAGATTTCAGTTCCATCATGGATGCCCTTGCGGTGTATACGAAAAATTCTCAGTCAGACTACATAGGCACTTAGGGCTGTTCAAGTTGCGGAGGGTAGATTGGAAAGATGGCTTGTATGCAGAGTTGGGAGCCAACAGCATTCTGGTTCTCCGCCAGCAGCGTGGCAGAGAATGCACTATCACCATCTCCGTTCGGGGAAAGAAAATACCACAGTTGTGGGAACATCTGTTAAATGCACATAACGACTTGCTGAAAATCCAAACTCGAGATTGGCCAGGACTGCATTTCACCAAGCACCTAATCTGCCCCCACTGTGAGCGCCTATGCTTGCCAAACCCTTCCGTCTTCCCTGGCGAGATATTGGACCTTGAACGGCCCTCAAATGAAACTCGTGGTTTCTACTCTACGGTGCCGTGTGACAATGCCGTGCCTGACAGGTGTATACCCGCCAGCATGGTGATACCGGCCATGGCAGGTAATGAACTAGTTGTTTCTTTTGTTTGCATAAATAAGAATTGGATGATAAGTTCTTAGCCCCTTGGTGATTTTATTGCAATATCAGTTTTTTGTAATGTGAAAAATGACAATTTTCAATGCCAATGACAATCTATTTTGTGCATTTTTTTGTGCATTTACACCGAATAAAATCGCCAGAGGGGTAACAGTAATCTTATGTCTACGAAAAAGATCTTGCCCCAACTAGACGCTATTTTAATTATTGTTTGTACATGTTTACTTTCAGAATTTGCTCCCATGGCCGAGTACAATAAGGCAGCACTCCGCGCCCACCAGAAGGCGCTGGTTGACGATATCACAGAGCCGTGCTTGCGGGACGTCCTGCTACGGTTCCAGCAAGAGGGCATATTCTCTGAACGAGAGGTGCTGACGGTGAAGAGTCGCGATTCACAAAGAGAGAGGAATGTTATCTTCCTTGACATCCTCAGGACTAAAGAAGAGAGAGCATTTTATGAGTTTACGCGATACTTGGGAGCCAACGGACAGCTTCATCTCAGCGAACTCCTCCAGTTATAGTATATTTGGAGAACGTTTGTGTTATATGATTAATGAAATCTTAAGACAAAGATCGGTGCTCAGGCTGCACATTCATTGTTTACAGTTTATTTTCTGTCGAAGGATGGACTTAATACGGATTTCGAAAAGAAATTAATGCAATATGCAATGGCATATAATACTGCAGTATTCCGTAACTTTTCTCTCTGGGAATAACTCGAACCTTGGACATAATAACGAATTGATACCAAAACTTTTCTGAGTCAGATTAGAGCCCCTAGAATTAACTATCTTACATAAAGAAACCCTTCTGTAAATGTGAGAACCCAATGCGTCTTGATGTTAGTGAAAGGGTACATATTGATGTACATGTATGTCAGACAACCTTGGGTATTGTAACCTCGCCCTAAACAATTTGATAGACTTAATTTTTGCATATTGGTGTGGTTGAAAGATCAAGATAAAGGATAACTTCTATGTGTAACAATAAATAAATAAATAAATAAATAAATACTTTCACCCCGAGTATGTATTGTTTTAAAAAATATGAACGAAGAGGGGGTTATACTCAAGCAGGCGAAAAATTCATTTCTACATTTTGTCATCGAAACATTTTTTAGTTTTGAAATCTGATATCACGTGAAATGTCAGTTTAAAAAAAGCCGTGTTGTGCCACGAGCGGTAAATATTGACATAACCATCTTCTTCATGCAACAGAATGCTGACATTGTTTACATTTACTGTCCTTCTCACGCTATCCTTATGATTGTTTGTACAAAAAAAATAAACAAATACGTGAACAAAATGTGTTCGGCGTGCCTACCCGTAATGGATGTTTCTCTATTTGGCTTGGCTCAACATCCGTTTAGCGTGTTTAGGAGCAATAACTGTCTAGCATCGCTTCCGCTCGAATTACACGGTAGTATAATTCAACTGCATTTGTTTATTAGCCATTTTATTTCCTTGTACGGCCTAGGACTCTTCATAACCAAGGCGAACCCGTTTTAGTCCAGTTGCGTTCGTGGATGCCACACGATACATACATTAATTGAGAGTCTTCCCGTTTAGTGTTATATAGTTTATGATATTTCGTTTGATAGCTCTACTCCAGGAACAGCTATGAATCAAGGAAAGGTTTTATTAATAGTAACTTTACTGGTTCTGGTGGCCGTAGTGTATCCGTTCGGTAAGTCTACTGTGTGTGTATGTGTATGTGTGTGTTTGTGTTTGAGAGAGAGAGAGAGAGAGAAAGGTAACTAATTTTTAAATTCTTGAAACGGGGTGACCAGGGACTCGAGATACCCAAATAATTCAGTAAAACACATTCGACCTGAAAATGATAACAATGATATGTATCCAGTATATTGGGGTTCAGTGGTCTTAACAATGTATATGTGTATGCAATGCTGAATATTTTTTATTTGTTCCCATATTATATATTTAGTGTACTTGAATAGAGTCAATCTGATCTATCAAGGTAGCACGCTATATTTACAGGAACATCCCCTTGTCACACCGCGGGAGGCCAATGTTACTGGTCGGGAACCATGTGGTGCCGAGGAGATGTGGCCAAATTGAGCTGTGGAGAAAAATTTCCGCCACTGCCCGACAATCCGTACGACCTGGGCTATGGGTGTTGTATGGGGAAACCGATGCCGTATCTTTTCAAGTAGAAGATACCAGAAGGGATCAAAGTCAATGGCAAAGATTGGGAAGACATTTTGTCATTTTAATGAGGACGTACCGTGCTTTTCATTTATGTTTATGTATGTTGTGAAATACGCAAAACAGGACACTGATATTAATAATTTTACGTAATCATGACCAGAACACACTCTTTTTGTCAATCGTTGTCCACATTTTGGTGTTATTTTAACAATATATCTGAATACAACCGTTTCGCGTCGTTTTCTGAAATTTAACATTTGAGTAATTTACAGCGTCAAGTGATTCAGAGACAATTTCGGAAATGTCATCCACTCAGGAAATAGGATATATTATCAATTGGTACGATAGTATTTGAAAATTGATCAAAGCCAAGCATTTGATGAGTCAGTGAATTAACTTATTATACAATGATTCTCAGTGGGAACTGACCAAACCTCTGAATACGTGGAACCTATTCTGTATGTGTGCGAGTGTCCAATAAGTTCACATGACGTTGTACGTTTTGCAAATGTTTTAATTTGGAGACCTAAGTCTCGATCTACATGTAGGTACACTATACTTTATCTAGATTTGATGTCGCATGGACCGCACTTCTAACACGGTTCATGTGCTGACGTAGATAACTGAATGGTTTCCTTAGAACTCAAGTCAGCAAGCAAGGACATCAGTTCTGTGATTCACTCTTATTCTCTATCGAGCATTGTAACCCCTATATTTAGAACAACACATAAAAATAAAATGAGGAGGATCTGCGAAAGGATTGATTGCAATCACGACACTTGAATTTTACCTACAAAATTTATTTCACTAATATCAAATTTTATGGACTCATGATTTGCTACAAAAGATAAATCACTGCTTATGTAAACAAAATTCGAGTAGGCTGAACTGGTTTCATGTTTCAGAAAATGTTCTTAGGAATATACATTTAATGAAATTGAGCAATTAATGATCTTGAAACAAATCAATTTTTCATGCTATAAGTTGTCACTTATCAGTTACCAATTGTCTTTGCAGTACAATTAAACATCAAATTATATCTAAAAAAGGCAAACCACCACATAAAATTTACCTGCTTAGAAAAGGAAAACTATGTGCAGGTTTTAAGGCATACATTATCTACACATGTTAACTCAAGCTTGTCAAAGATACTACATGCAAATAGACTAAAACGTATCTGAACACAAACTAATACAATAAAACCATTATACTGTCCCAATAGCAAATCAATATGATTTATCATTGATGAATATCACCAGCTGTACAAAGAATTAAGATAAAGAAAGTATACCCTCTGCCTACCAATACTACCAGGGGATCTAGATACATATTCAATACTTTGAGTCTATCCGGTCATCATCACATCAAAACAATAGCCTTATTAAACTTTGAAGAAAGTTACAAGATGGCCACATTGGATCTTCAAGTATATAGTGCCCAGTAGAGTAGGAATATTGGCAGACTCATACTTCAACCAAAGCTACCTCTTTTCTTAATATCATTGGTAACCAAAACTCCAACTTTCAAACTTCTTAATAAAAAAATTACAATTTGAAATAGGTCCAGATATTTAAAAATAAATAAATAAAAATAAGTAAATAAATATATATTCTTTACTTGGTCATGACTATCAACAGTGGAAGTATAAAATTATCTTGTCAGTCAAGTATAAAAAAATTCATTAACTTGGTTAAAATTTGTCGATCAACAAATATTTTTCCTTTCAGACAAACCGTGAGCAAATAACACAAATCCCCACATTACCGTTACTAATATCAAAAAATTTTTAAATACACCTCAAATTCTAAAATAATTGTTTTCATAATTGTATTGTTAATGTTGAAGAATTATTGATAACTATAACATACATCCAATTCATCTGAGGTATATATCTTTTGATGAGCTTAAAATCAATATGTCTAACTATAATTTAATAATTTCTGCACATGTATTAAAAAACCTTTTTATAGTGAAACATCATGTAACAGCAGCACTTCTCAATTCTTGTGTTTTGTGACACCCAGCCACTTATCAAATATGTACCATATCTGTACATTTTACATCAGTACCGTCATAAATGACAAATGTCAGACAGTGAGATCATAGTTGAAAAATAATGTAATGGTAATGATATGATTGCCTTGGATAGCCCATATTGATGAAAATGCAAGGAGTACAATTCACATTACGTTTTGTTGGATGGTCTACTCATTAAACACTTTCTGTTAATGTTTATAACTGGAAATGATTGCTGACAGCAGACAGAAGATGAGCATTATATGACTTACATAAGTTAGTCTTGAAATACTTGCAGAAGGCAAAACTTAGAAAACATTAATATCACTCAAATGCAATACAAAAAGTGACCTTGAAACATATTTGGATTGTGTTTTGAAAAATGGACACTGACATCCGACATTTTGGGAAATTACTAACAAAAGTGATCAAAAATATACAAGTGGAGCATTTCAGACAATATCTAATGTAAAATGAGCAAAAGTTGTGTGTATAAAAAGGAAAAATGAGGTAATGTTGTCTTTAATGTGAAGCATGACTAAGCATGGGTAATAATAATGATAATAACAACTGCCACTGCAGCCAAAATGACAATGAAAAATGGCTGACATCTCTTATCATTTTTGCCCTTCCAATCCTTTTTTCCAGTCCTTTTATAAGAGTTTTTCTATCATGATTTTTCTCTTTCAGTCAACTTTACTACTGTATATATATATATATATATATATATATATAAAGGCCTCTTCCAACAATTTTGTTAGTGTAAAGTTTGCTCACCCCACTAATAAAGATACAAAAGTTTTTCTTTTCTTCTCATTTCATGTTATACATTGTTACACTCTTGCTGTCCTTGAATCAAAGCTTTCTCTTCATGGGGAACTGAAGCTGGCTTATCATGCAGGGAATCATTTGGTTTCAGCGGTTTCATCATAATGCCTTCATCCTCTAACTGATTCACTGTAAATTTCATTTCTGGGTGAAACTCTCGTAACCACTGGCAGCGGGCTGGGCTGAGGGATTCATAGTACTGCTCACGGAACTTGGTTGGCACTGGACCCCAGTCCACTGCCGGGCGACAGAGCTTCTTGATTCTCTAAAAACAAGACAAAAGACAGAAATATGATGAAAGCCATCAACTAGTCCTTGAATATATCCAAAAAAATATTTATTAAAAACTGAAAATCTTGCCTCCTAAATCAAAGCTGAATTAAACTTGAATACAATTTACTATTCAATAAATAAATAAATAAACTGATGTGTGTGTGTGTGTGTGTGTGTGTGTAACTGTGAAAAGTACAAAGATTTCTAACTATAGTATACTGATAGACCCCATTTCCAGAGATTAGATCAATCTACTTTAGATCGACCTAACTCTCTGGGGGTTCACGCTAAATAGCTGTCAGCTGGGCGGACATGAAAGTTAATTACTCCCTTACAGCTTGTAGTAGGCGGGACGGACATTTAAGCCGGATTATCTGACAGTAATCTAGTGAGACTCCCCGCGGGGATAGATCGATCTAAAAGCTCTGGGAATACAGCCATAGTATTGATGCTTTTCAAGAGTACAGTTTTCATGAGATCTTATAAATAATTAACACTAGGGGACCTACTGTATAACTTACCTGCAAGATTGGCCCTTTTTCCCTCACAATCTTCAGAATCATTATTCCAGGTATAGGCAGTATAGAGCAGAGGGCTAGGAGCCACCCAAGAACAATAGCCCATGCTGGATAATGGTAATCCCCATATGTTACCGACTCATGTTGAAGGAAGGTGGCGACAAAGATGAACTGGTGGGAAATACAAAGTGACATAAAAGGGTTTTATTTATTTCTTGGAAAAAATCATGGAAAATTAATTCTTATTTCAGAGTACTAACAGCAACTCAGAAACCTAGCACAAATGAAAAATGACATAATTTTTCATATCTGTGATAGATCTACCTATTTCATAGGAGAAACAAGGCAGCAAAGCTGTCAAATGTACAGACAAAAAACAGAAAAAAAAGATGCAAAATAGGTCATTTTGTCAATTTTGATGCAATAATGTATGCTTATTATAGCACAGTCTGTCAACGCTAATTTATAATCATGCACAACAGGTAACATGGTCACTAACAGATGCAGATCCAGAGATATTTTCTGATGGTGTTCCAAAGTATCCTTGTTGATCCATCCTCCATTTTGATGGTCTTCCAACAGAAACCGGTTAATATAAACTTTAAAATCTGACTGTCTTCCAGGAGACCCAGAAGATGGTCTCAATCCAACCCTTCAATAAGATTACAGTTTCAGGACCATGAGAGTTAAAATTCACATGATGAAAGTCCTANAGTGGTTTTAAGCAGGTCAAGCCTAATGCCTGTACCCCTGTAGTTATCTTAATAGTAGCTGCTTTTTGTTTATTATTATTTCTTTATTTCATTTTTATTAAATTATTATTATTATTTTGTACTTTATAACAAAACAGACCAAACAGACCAAAATTGTATTTATATTTATTTAATTCCATTATTTACAAACCATGCACAGCAGTTTACATCATTCTAATAGACAACTACTGATTTCCATGTATCTTTGGGCACAGTATACTATATGTTTTGGTACTTTGATTAAGACTGTGAAACTGAACCATGGTAAATGTTTACTGTAATTTGCATCTGGGAAGAACAAAATGTATACAAGTTTGCCCCAACACAGAATATATTCAGTAAATATCCGTCCACCTAACAGTATAAGCAGATGATTATTGAAATATATATATATATATATATATATATATATATATATTTATATATTTATTTATTTATATATATTAAAAATGGTTTACAAAAACTTTAAAGATAATTCCGTCCCATGGTTTTACATTGGTGGTACAAATTTTAAGATTAAAATAATTACAAGTATACATGTATTATTACTCGTCGCAAATATTTCAAACTCTTCTTGTGTCAGATCATTTATCCTTTCAGTTGTTGCATGTTCAGTGCTCACAACAGTAAAATGTAGGATTATAAACTGTGCTGTATTTCTTTTTATTATTATTATTATTTATTCTTTTATAAGTCCAAATAAAATGTTTTCAGTGTTGATCAAAAATTGTGAGTAGTGAAGGTAATAGACTACTCCAATCTGTCCGTTTACTCTAAATGTCAACTTGTATATGGTAATATTGTATAATATTTGAATTTCACCTGTTGTCTTACAGTATTGTTATGTACAGGGAATGGTACGTGCGTTCCTGATGTTGTCATTATGTCACGTGTCTCAACACGTAGTATGGGCGTGGCAGTTATAAGACAATAAAACTGACAAAAATATTTACCCCTTTCTACTGTCTTGTTATTAAAAATGGCTGTTCATTCTTTTCTATAGGTAACCTGGTTCATCACAAGTATAAGCAGAAACAGAGTGTCAATTTGAAAGTAAAACTGATAGACAAAAGTCTGTATATTCCCACGTGCCATTTGGTGTATTGGTAGGGGTGGGCAAATATTTTTATGTACTTTACTGTGAAAACATGGCCAAAAAGCCATTTCCTGCCTTTTTTCACAAAGAAATAGCAGATACCAATATAAATCATTAGCTTTGGTAAAAAATATTGTCAGATTTGTGTTCAGCAGCAAAAATGGCTATATAATCCACCTGTTTTAAAAACATTTTTGTCATTTGCCCACCCCTAGTATTGGCTATACTACAACTTTTACTGCACTTGTTTCCTGTATACGTACCACTCTTTGGTGCATTCTAATATATATATTCTGATATACTAATATGGCACGAGCTAATTCATGCATTGTGACTGCTGCCGGTTCGTGGTATTCTCTCAGCAGCTTATCCTGCATAGACAGAGTTCTGCTGAAGACATCCACAGCATCGTCTGCCTTGCCCATCTGTAGCATTTCATGGCCTATGCCGTGCAGAGTACTGGCTGTTGGTTGGCTCTCTCCACATATCTTCTCCCAAATACATAGTAGAGCTCTTTGTAACTTTGGTAACCCATTTCGAGACTAAACTTACAAGCTCACTTTTTTCTTTCTTTAACGTTATCCTCAAAAGTTTGACTGTGGCTGTGCACATGATTAACGAGGTTTTGGACGGGAGAGTTTTTTTTAATCCAGCGTGATCAACTTAATAAACATTTGTTCAGTAGAAAGAGAATTGTATATGTAAATGTATCACGTCCGTCCGTGAAGATTGCCAGTAAAGCTGAAGGCCCTGAAAATATTGGCATTTTAGAGGGCGTACGTCCATGTGTAATCCGTGGTTTATATAAAATTCATAGTAAAATATTGAAAAATAATTTTGTGTCGTTGACAAGATCCATAACCTTAGGAAGCATATTAAACAAGGCAGCAAAGCTGTCAAATGTACAGACGAAAAACAGAAAAAAAAGATGCAAAATAGGTCATTTTGTCAATTTTGATGCAATAATGTATGCTTATTATAGCACAGTCTGTCAACGCTAATTTATAACCATGCACAACAGGTAACATGGTCACTAACAGATGCAGATCCAGAGATATTTTCTGACAGTATTCCAAAGTATCCTTGTTGATCCATCCTCCATTTTGATGGTCTTCCAACAGAAACCGGTTAATATAAACTTTAAAATCTGACTGTCTTCCAGGAGACCCAGAAGATGGTCTCAATCCACCCCTTCAATAAGATTACAGTTTCAGGACCATGAGAGTTAAAATTCACATGAAAGTCCCAAAATATGAAAGTCCCAATATATGAAAAAAGATGACAGTGCATGAAATAATATTGCAGCGTGTTTAAAGACATAAATACCAATACAACTGCTTATGTGGAAATACTGAAAATGTGCAGAGCCTCAGGTGGATCAGGGCGTAGCCTGAGCAAAATGCCAGGGGGGGCAGTAAGCGGACACGAGGGGGTAGGGTGTGGGAGGGATTGTCCCCCTCCCACGGTGTGGAAAATTTTTAAAAACTGTATGTATAATACTGCATTCTGGTGCATTGGCATGAACTGAGTTTGCTAAAAACAGTATACCTTTGTAAACAGATTGTTGAATGATTGTCTAGTGGCCATGAGTGCATTTTCTCAGAGAATTTACATCAACTTTGCAATTATTTTTTTACCTTTTTTTTTATTATTATTATTATTTTTTTTTTTTGCACCTCAAATCCCAGGGGGGGCAGCTGCCCCCTTGCCCCCCTCGAGGCTACGGCCCTGTGGATGGGAGTTAAAAATCACATCTTAAAAATGCCAGTGTTGGAGAAATAATTAAAAAGAAAATATATATATATAATTCCAATGAAGCTGCTATTCATTGCTTCCTTATTATGGCTGANCGACGGCGACGACGGCGACGACAGACGCAGATGATGGCTATATGTACAGACACATCTGTGTCTGTACATAAAAAAACTGAAAACCTGTTTTGAATTACCTATACACAATTTAGGTGTTAAGTAATACATATCTTATCAGCCACAGGATGAGCAAATGTCAAGTGAATGTTTCAACCATTTCTGTCATTACCCAATTATAACAATTAAGTTACACAGCATTATATATTTGAGTTAAGAAATTACTCACAAGTATCACTGCTGGGGTCACAAACAGCCAGGAATATTTGTACAGTATTGGAGGCTTACGCCCAATCATCAGCTCTATGTCCTCATAAAAGCGGTCGACTCCTGCAAAAACATATTTATATATAAAATATATTTTTTGATATACGAAGTTGAGGCCATTATTACCAAATAATACATATTTATTTATAAATACATTTTAAAGCCAACTATCCTAAATAAAAGTAATATTTTCAGAATACTTAACATTTTACATTTCAGAGAAAATGATGAAGATTTTTATAAATTGCCTGCAACAGAAACTAATGTTGTTGAACATACATTTACCAACACAATCACAGCAGCGAGAAACATTTCAGAAGTCATCAAAAAGAGAGAAAATAAATGAAAACTACTTCTTACCATACACATAGGCCACCACAATACACTCCATAAAGGAGAAGACCATAAGTGAATACGTGGAGCTGTACCAGTCCATGATCTGGAGGATATAGATCCCACCCTGAATGAAAAATAAAAGACTGACAGATACATCACTTTTAAAGCATAATTATTCACTAGCCTACATTCCATCAAAAAGATCTATTCTCTTCTTAAGAATGTCCAGAGACTTCTTCTTCTCTTTGTGGTATTGGCTATTATATACACTCTGTATTATGTGGTCATTACCTTAGTAACAATAACAATTCCAAGAAGGAACTGTACAAAACAAGTGGCAGCAATAAACAGGGTCTTCCTCTTCCTCAGGAAATGCGGGTACTCATCCACAAAGGCAGATGTCATAGTCTCAAACATACCAAACTGAAAAAACAGATTTGTTATCATGCAGTGCACTAAGAGAGCACATGTCTGACATAATCAATAACGTGTACTAAATAAACCAACTAAGTATATACAACAGGACAGAATAATATCTAAAGGGCAGCTTCAAACTATATCTTCCCTTGTCAAAGGGATCCAAGATAAGATATTTTGAATAAAATATTCATTTATTTAGAGAAAATCTTTAATAAATTTAACTTTTTTGAAATTTCATTAAAAAAAGCATTGGTTTTGATTATCAAGTCAATTCTAATAACTTAAGTTTGAGCACTTTTAAATCTTATTGTTAACACTTGGAAAGATCTGAAACATTTTCAAAATAATAACCCAGAAGAACAGACCTGGCTATCCACCCCTACAGTCAGTAACATCAGAAAGAACAGCACTGCCCACATGGGAGAGATAGGCAGCTTGGCCAAGGCCCCTGGGTACACCACAAATGCCAATCCTGGACCTGAAAGGAAAGCACCAAGAACATGGGCACTTTGATTGATAAAGCATGGGATATTTAAGAAACTATATTAATCTCACCTTTTGTGAACCTTGAGGCAATCATTTTATTCATAATCTTTTCTACCAATAATGAATTACTGAAATGCTACAGTCATTTTTGGTAGATATGTGATTTAAAACTGGAACTTTAAATTTGGTACTAAGTAACATAACAATGGAAGTGAAAAATGATTTGCCCCTAGGATCCAACTACACGTGGATAGGGTCTAAGTCTGTCTTTGCCTTGATTCTTGCTAATTGGGTATACCTGTTGCCACTGATCACATATGTCTGAAAACTCAACATCTAATGTGGCACAGTGATAGTGAGGACCACAAGCTAACAAAAGGGTTTTTGCTGCTGGCTTTAACTACATTTAATTAAAGGGATAATAACTCTTCGTTTTGGCCAAAAAATAAGTTTTCCTGGAGTAAACAACAATTTTCCCATACTTACCAATGATTAATTTATCCATTTTTACATTCAAAGTTAGTCCCTGGTTTTTTTCTAAAAAGTTTGGTTTTTTGTTAAAATCTCTTAAGAGATTATAACAGAGTATGGCCATCAATGGAGGTCACGTGGTCTGAACACAAGCTCAGATATCAGAATAATAGCTATAACTGCTGTTTTTGTCGTAAAACAGAATATATTATATTTCTATGAGTTATTCACAATGTTTTTATTGTGAAATATGGACCTCATATGAAGAGTTATTATCCCTTTAATTGAAAAACCTCTCAGAGGCTAAATAATGAAAAAAAGTGCACTTCCTTAGTGAAAGAAGTGCACAGTTTTTCAGCCAGACAGTTATTATCTTATTTTTTCATTTGCAGTTGATATTTGTGTTAAGATACAATCATTTCACCACACAGGGATGAGGGATGATCAGGGTACGGGACTGCAGGGAAAGCACATTCTGAGCATTCTTATTGTAACAACAGCTCATCAGGTTGCCCTGATCTTTATTCTATTTTTCTTTTGTCTTTTTTTTTTTTTTTTTTTTTTGCAGTTTCTATTAACTAAAATATTGAGCCTAAATAAAATGTAGATGCCCTACTGAAAATTCTCATCAAATTTGTTTAACTGTAAATGCCATGGCAGCATGTATTTATTATATCTGAGTATTACTGCTTAACATAAAATAAATTAATAAAATAATTAAACAAATAAATGATCTACAATAAGCAATATCTCCACTGAAGTGAATTTTTACATAAAAAACTCTTAAAAGTCTTATAAATAGCATCCTCCGATCAATAGGAAGCTGGACAGAGAAAAGATGCCAACAAGAGAAGCGGATCTTTTTCTGAAATACAAAAGTTAATCCAGGCAGAAGATAGATTTAAAGTGTAAAGGGCATTGAAGACTGATGTTGAGTTTATCATCTCCAAGCCAGTCGGCCATGTGTTCTGAACCTGGTGGAAGCTGAATGACTGCAATTCCATTAACATAGAAAAAAAGGACAAGAAAACTGGCTGTAATTAGGAAAGCAACTTACACATTTTTGCAACATCAAAAACAAAACCAACCAAAAATAAAAAAACATAAATGAAAAAAAAAAAAATCTCAAGGAAAGAAATCATGAAACAGGAGATGCCAATGACTCTAAATTGGCTATTGCTTGGAAGAGTATACTGCACTGCTAATGAATGATAATATACTGTACTGGGGTAATATATGGCTTTATGATGATTATTTCAAGCGCAAGCTTCATAGCCACAATACCAGTGAGACCATTACAGTAGCTTAAGAATCACACTTTCAATCTTACTAGTTAAAGTAACAATACCTGAAAGTAAATATCATGAAGATTAACATATATCTACTTAAAAAAACTATTGCTGCTCTTGTTGCTGAAAGGTTCAAATCAAAAGCATCATATTTGGGTACTGAAGCTTGAATCAACTTTTTTTTGCAATTAACAAGTACTAAGAGAATGATGCATACAGTTTCTGCATGGACTTAAGCAAAAATTAACGTAAAAAAGGGTATACTCATGTTTTCCTGCCTTTCTTGGAAATGACCTTGACCTTGTGTATCTCAATAAGATATCATAAAATTCACTATGTTTCCTTGCATTTTAAAAATATTTACTGATAGCCGCATCATTTTGCAGTTTTGACAGCCATGTCTAAATCTTTTGCTTTCATCAGTATGTATCTTATCAAAAAGTGTTGTCACTTATTGATTTAAAGTGATTGATGTGTTACTGAAAACTGAATTAATCAGAATCCAGCATGTGGATTGACATAATTTCGAAAGCAAGCTGAGATAACATCCCAAGTAGGCCAATCTTTCTCAGTCAAAAACAATATTAATATAAAGATGGGCCAACAAGGCATGTCATCTACATGTATAGTGCATTGCATTGGATAGTTTATTGAAACTTGTCTATAAACCTATTGGGCCAATTTCCTATAGGATCCTATAGGATCTTATAGGATCCTATAGGACTTTTTCGTAAGGGTACCCATAACAAGATTTAGTTAAAGTCTAATTTTCCTGTTTTTACTCTCTATTTACTAGTTTATTTTAGTTCTTAAAAATACATGTTTCGAAAGGTCAAGGTCATGTCAAGGCCACTCTAGGACAAGGTCATCAGTATATCCAGAAATTTTCTTGAACCTTGAGTGATGACAGCATCAACAGTCCTTCCAGTTTCTTGTGCCATGAAGCCAATGATTGAAAAGATGACAAAGCCAGCAAATATACTGGTTCCTTCATTCAGCAATGGAACTATTATTGCATCCCTGTGAAAAAGAAAGACAATCACACCGATGTTAATAATACATAACTGGATTACAAGCAAGGCTTTCTGCTGACACATCTGCATTGAGCCAGCTTGTGGTTGATCTTCTCTTTAGGTCGGTTGAACGTCAACATCAAAAACAAAATATAATCAAACAACATGTAAAAAAGTCATGGTAAGGCTGGCAAAAAAATAAAAACAGACCACTGAAAATGTGGTTTTACTATCAGTCTTTGACAAGTTGGTCAACAAACAAAAAATTTTGGTTGTGAAGTGTAAGCATCTGGCTGCCATACTTGGTTTAATTGCTGAATAGGCAGAAATCCCCATATAATTGCAGTGACAAGACTAAGGTCATTTGCCTTATTTTTTTAAGAGTTTTAACTGAAATACCCATAATTTTGTAATAACACTGCCTAGAAATATCTAAAGAGCCCCCATCCCATTGTAAAAGAAGGTGACCAGAAGCGCAGAGTGCAGGACATGCAAAATTGAAAAGAAAATTGCCAATGTGCTTGAATATCAATGGTGAGCAATGAATGAAAACAAAATGCTACTTACTTTCCTTCAGATTACTTATCTTTCAATAGCATTACTCTCCCTATAGGAGTTGGAAGCATCCCAAAATTTCATATCAAATGATCAATGATGGGTTACTGTCAAACAGTTAAACTTAAAACTATTAGCAAATTAAAGTTAGTCTAAAAGTTTTATTCTTATACTTAGAGCAATAGATATGAAATTTGAAGATTATTCTTAGCTACATTAAAAGCTAACTCACCTTAGGCAGTTATTCTGGAAGCGGTTGTAGCTGGCAAATGTGATCATGGCCCCCCAAGCAGCACCAACAGAGTAGAAGATCTGTCCCGCTGCCTCGGCCCACACCTAAGTGCAATAAATATATGATTAAATATCATTTGAAAAATTCATATATTTTGGCTATCAGAGTTAATCTCACTTCTACCTAATATTTCATTTTATGGATGTTTTTCCACAAATTGTACAAAAATAAGGTGCCATTTCTGTTTGAGGACAGCCACTATTCCAAAACTACAGTGTAATTAGCTTTTCTCATGACTTGTAAATGAGAACAGATATTTTCTTCATACATGTACCTTAAAGCTCAGCAGTTTCTCCCATTTAGGAATAAGATAATACTTTATCCCCTCCATAGAGCCTGGAAGTGTGACTCCGCGCACCAGTAATATAATCAATACCAAGTAAGGAAACGTGGCTGTAACATAAACAACCTAAAAGAGAAAGGTAAACATAAGTTTTATATGAGCCTATCTCCAATCATATCATCTTGTTTACCATTATCTACCTAGTAGTCAACAAACATGTATTTGCTCTAGGAAAGGTTTTAGAACGACACCAAAGCCAAAAATTGCTGCACACAAGGTAACTTTTACAGTACATCTCAAACTGCCTTTGGATAATTTGAAAGGTGAAGATGTTAAAGGTTATAAAATGAAACTTATGCTAAAAATACAAGTTACATATCCATATGAAACTACTTGCAAACATATTAGTAATACATTTGTTTAAAGAACTGATATACCTTTCCAGAAGATTTTACACCTTTACACAAACACAAGAAGATCATAACCCAGGCAAATATCAGGCACAGCAACAGCTGCCAGCGAATGGGACCGATGTTTTCTATACCCTCTGACAACTCAAGTACATGGTTTCTTGAAAAAAGGGGAGAAAAATTAAAAAAAATTAATAAAAACAGCATTTTCCATTGTGAATATAGCCTTTTTACAATGTTACACATGCATTTGCTTAGTGATAAAATCAAATTGGTTTGTGCATAAAAACAATCTTACTTCATCAAAAAATATCTTAAGATTTTCTGTTAAACTGGCTGAGTGCTCTAGAAAACTTAAAACTCATGATAAATGCAATAACTTGAAACAATCAGTCTGAAAGCCACGTCAGGTTTTAATCAATTTTAGACTGATTGACTATATATGGAATGTATATATATATGTGCCCTCTTTCGATACTAACTGCCAGTACTGCTCACTAGGAGACTCCCTCTGTATGGTTACATTAGTGCTGTTAGTACCATCCACCCCATAGTGCATCCAGTAGCTGGCACTGCTATTGGCAGTCAAATTTCCCATCAGCCTCACCACCCCAGCGCCATCTAGCAATGGATCTAGGGGTCCCTGGTGTGTATGGTTGGTAGCGTTAGGACTACGTTTATGCCACAGAGCACAATTCTCATCATTCCAGTCATTATTGCAGTGACTCCATGGAAGAACTGCTTGGAAGGACATCAGCAAGTAGTACAGGGTCCACGTGATGATGATGTTGTAGTAGATACACACAATTCCAGACACTATCACCATGCCCCAGCCAATGCCTGAAATAATATAATGTTAAAGATACAAACAAATCCAGACTTCAGAACCAATGCCAACTATTTCAAACATGTAACGCTCTGAAAGTAGACTTACACACCTGTAATCATTACCTTCACTTAAACTAATCAAACGTTTTTTTTTTCTATGCCATTTAACAAAGTTTAAATTAAGTAACCATGTCTTAAAACTTATAGAATACAGGTGTAAGTTTCTATACCTTTGAACATTGGACTGAGCTTCCAGACCCCCGTGGGACTCTGGCTGCAAAACTGTCCATATGCAATCTCCAGGAAGACAAGAGGCATTCCACACAGCAGCAGGAAGATGCAGTATGGAATAAGGAAAGCACCTGCATAAACAGGAAACATATTTGCCATAAAAATAGATAAAGATGTCGACTGATAAATTTTATTTTAAAAAACTCCTTGAGTAATAATAACCTCCGCCATCGAGGTTCTTTTCTGACCTCTGCATGTTTGTTTGTTATTTTTGTTTGTCTTTTCCTTGCCAGCCTAACTCAAAATGTAATGTATGGGTTTTGATTAAATTTTCAGCATAGGTTACATATTTGTGGGCTAACTTAAAAGTGGTTAAATTTTGGTGATGATCTATTGATTAATTAATGATTAATTATTAGTTAATTATTCATGGAGGTCTGTGGTCTCTGACAGTTTTTATGGTTGAGTTTTGATATATACAGTCTTATATTTATACTGTCTTAACTGTCTGTCTCCAAAACACACTACTTCACCATCTGATATTTGTAAATTGTTGATATTTTGCTGCATATCAACTAGGTTTCAAACCAAATAACTTGGAAAAAAACACTTTTATGAATTAGCTATTGTTTGCAAGACATCACTCCATAAAAAAGTTTGTTATGTTTATCCTTCAATTTTTCAGGGGTTGGACAAATTATATTCATCTGCTACCTTTTGCCATAATTTATAAAAAAAAATCCATAATGGCAGCTATTGCTTGCAAATAATTTCTCCTGCTTGAAACATTTAGCCAGTAAACTAAAAAACTGAAATATGCCAAATATGCAACCAACAAGCCTTCAGTATTATTTTAACATGAAAACATAAAGGATTAGAATGAAATCCTTAAAACAAGCCATGCACTCACCTCCACCATTTCTGTAACAGATATAAGGAAACCTCCATATGTTACCCAAACCAACAGCATACCCAATACAGGACAAGAAAAAGTCAAGTCGACCACTCCAGTTACCACGCACTTTGTTCTCGTCTTCTAGGCCCACCATCTTTGGCAAAGACAGCTTTCGCTTAATTTTATCCCCCATAGATGGTTTCTCCTACAAGTACAAAGAATGATGTCAGATAATATCAAAATCACTGAAAGGTTGCTACCTCTCTATCAAGACTATCAACTGTATCCAGTATGATATTAGAGTATTTTAAAGCTGATTCCAATACTACAAGGTGGAATTGTAATTCACTTTTTGATGCAGAAACAGGAATGATGGATAATAACTTGAACCATTCACAGTCTGTCACTTCAAAGCCAGCACATATCCAGATCATGCAGGGACACTCTCAGGTATCCCAAGGTGAGTGGTGAGGCTGGGTAAAATGAGTTTGGGCTATTCCGGTTTAGACCAGCTCTGACACTGGGCTATACACTGTGTTTATCTCCAGTACAAAGAACTAATTATAATACTGTCTATATAATAGTAGCCAAATATATATTACTGCATACTGTGTATATGCATGCATTTATGTAATCTATACTTATATTTACATGAAAGTAGTGGAACTCCTAGGAACTCCTTTGCATACCTTTAACTATAATGGTAAACAACTACTATGTGTACATGTACGAACTATAATAAGAACTTTGGGCTAGTTACTGAGCTCAAACATGGTACAGAGACTAGGGTGACAAATCTCATCTTTAGCAAATGAATGTTTCCTGCAGTTGTTTGCTAAAGTTGCTGGTGCATTTAGCATGCAAGCGCACACACATACACACACATAAAGAGAACTCATCCAGCAATAAAAGTCAACTATTGAGCCTCATTAAAAAGGCCGGGGCTCTCACAGCTCATGCTTTAAGTGTGTCAGCAACATTTCCATGCAGTTTCAAACTGGCAAACTTTCTTACCTAAAATCTACACATAAGAATATATAAGGCCTTTAAGTCTCCAATGTTTTTAGTCAATTGTATTCTAAACTTAAAGGCTTCTGACAAACTATTAATTAGAAAAAAATAAGTTTTTAGTTCCTTCCTTGAAGTTTTGGAAAAAATGCGAAAACTTATGGTCCATAAGTGTCCTAAAATACCATTTATGCCCCTTTTAGCCTGCAAAAATTTCGTATAAAATCTTTTGAACACTTGTCTCTACAAACATGCCCCTTACATTTTACACATGCCAAAGTGAAGCTTAACATAATGTTTTGAACTTTATTCTGATCGTGAACAGTATTTGCCTGATGACTTATCCCACATGAGTTATGTTGAAAATACAAGGAAAACAGAAAAAAAGGCAAATGTGAAGGCCATAATCTTAACCTGTTTACTAGATACTAACCATATGACAGCAGCACTTAAATAAGTGGTATCTTATAACTCCAGCAACCCTGCTGGATTTCATGTACCAGGTGGTACGTTTCCAGTTAAAGAAGTTAAGGATGACAGATAAGCTGATTCTGACATGGACTAAGATAAATTATATATTCAACCCAAATCCCCTCCCCCTCCCCACCCCCCCAAAAAAAAGGAAAAAAAAAGAAAATATAAACAAACAAACAAGAAATGTGCATTTGGCAATTGTGCAAAACTGAAGTGCCAGTAGCTGTTACCATTACACTTATATTTAGGGACATAAGTCTCATACACACACACACTTAGGAAATAACCATAATATATTTTCTTTGAAGAATACCAAGATACATGAGTAGGAGGTAGATATATATATATATATATGCAACAATTTGAAGAAAACTTATATTCTTTTGAATTAAAATGTTCATTTCCATAAACCTTTTTGACTCTCAGTTTGGTTACCAGATTTCGGACAATATACACACTATATGTACAAGTCAAACCTAAAAATATAAAGGAAAAAGGTTTCCATTAATGAAAAATCAAATCAAACTAATTTATCCAGGGGCAAGAAATCCTTGACATCTTACCTCCACCTTGGCTCTGTCCGGTGTTCTACAGATTGTTGTTTTCTTCAAACTGTTGAGCCAGTCTGCATGGGACTGGATGTATGGGTCAAAATTACATAATTTCCCAAGACGAGTCACTAAGTTCACCAAATGTTATTTGTGTACCTAACCTAGTTTTGAGTGATTACTAGATGTACATGTGCTGCAGTATTTGTTATAGGGTTACACCTTTTTGTGTATTGACACATAAAGTTAGGCAACATTACAGTACATGGCATCTTTCCCATTGCCTTGAAATACATGTATGTTACTTAATCTTATCTACATACTTATTATCCAATATGAAAATATCCACTTAATTAGTTGTTGTAAATGTATATTTTTTTTCCCAGACATAAATTTGTATCAACAAGCCCACTGTTTAAATAAAACAAAATAAAAAATAAAATAAAATATATCATGCTCAAGTATAAGACTATGCAAAGATGGTCTGGTTTGACATTGACTGGTTTACAATATAATCTTAAATTCCACTGGAGTGTTTCCCAATAAGTGCAATAAAAACAAATAGAATTTAAATCAATTAATTACTAGTAATCATAAAACATCAAGGTTTTCATCTGTATCAAAATTTCACAAGACTGACTGAAAACTGCTGGGAAAAATGACCAGATGAGTGACGAGTAACATGCTCCATTCCTTAGTTACAGATATGGTGGGTCACAGGGGGATGGAGGTGGGTGGTGATTATCTAAATTTTCAAAACAAGTACACACTATGGTAAACCTTACTGTATAACTTATGTTAATCACATTTCATAAAGCTGATTCAAAAAGTGATAGCATTGACCCACCTTGGAGGCCGCCCACCATGAGGAACTGGACATCTTGACACCAAGAACATGTGTAAAACTGCTTGGGTTAATTCATTCAACATGACCTTTATGCACAAAACCTTTTCTTCCTTGTTTACAACTAACGCATTAAGTAAACATCCGTTATACTATTGACATATAACCTTTTCAAGACAATACAAAGTAAAGCTACAGGTGAGGTGTAAGGGAACTTGCATCAACTATAATATAAGCTAATGTTCAATTCTGTGTGCTTGTTGTTGTTCACATTCTGCATGATCAGCAAAAGAGTAAACTTTGGCTAGACATGTTTAGATAATGTCTAAAAACTGAGTAAATGTAACACCACCCCGGTAGCACTATCTGATAATATGTTTTCTCTGAAATAAGAGATATAACAGCTTCTACTAGGGAGGTCAGGTCACGCCGCTTACACAGCGGAAAGCGGGAAAAAATCTAACCTTGCTGTGTGTTTTCCATCATAACTTCCAAGTTTTGGGTCCTATGGTAAATATAAAAACATATTTAGAAAGTACATTCAGTGGGCTTTTTTGCAATATCTGTAACAATGTATTATCTCTGCGATAAAAACCTCCATCCATGAAAATCCCGCGAGAAATCGCCGGTGATTTCACTTCCTCGTTTGGTTCCCGCTATTTACGCATCTTGTTCAACCTGCGCGTTTCGCGGCATATTTCTAAAAGCTCCGTACGGCGTCCCGGGTGTTATTTCCATGGATTTGACCACATATTCGTGCAGAGGATGAATCAGCCTTTCGAGTGAGGGGTTACAGAAGGTCAGAAAACCGAAAAAAGCAGCCACAGCTTGCATTTTAATTTTTTAATCGCATTTTAGAGTTAGAATAACGAAGTTTGCAAAGTTCTGTAACCCCTACCTAGATAATTTAACTAATTCTCTTTTTATATGAGCTGTTTATTTGTCATTTTTTGCTAAGACGTAGCCGGAACAGCCTTTCGAAAGTTTGTGCTTTTGATCTTACCGCAGGTAAAATGGAGGACGCGCCAAGCTGTTCTGCTGATGAAAGGGCTCATGTATTTTCAGCACCCAAAGAGGCTCGAGAATTGTTCACAAAACACAAGAATATTTATAAAACGACTGCAATTAACGAATATAGGGTTAATTTTATGCCTAATAACAGTGAAGAGGTACATGATTTAGCCATTTACAGGAAACTGAAATTGGTCTATGGGGGCCGTAGCGATAGTCCGAAGGTTCAATAGTCCGAAGGTTCACCACAGAACCTTCGGACCAATGAACCCTTGATTAAAAAATCGATAAAAATGTTACCACTTTTCGGACCATTGAACCTTCGGACCAATGAACCTTCGGACTATCGAGACGCCCCCGGGCCATGATTCTGCATTGTTACTGAGAGGTAAAAAAAGAGAGACTTACTTAGATAAGGACTTTTTGTACCCAAGAACTAGAGAACAGTACATAACTGAAGAAATAAAGGATAAAGAAAAAATTAAGAAAAGAGCTTTAGCAGTCAAAAAAAAAAAATCAAGTTTGAAAAGAAAGTATGAAGCAAGTGTAAGTGAAATTGAAAGGCTTGATGATGAGAATGAAAACTTATTTTTAAATATTGAGTACTAAAAGAGTGTCTTCCATTTATATTCAGTTGAAAACTAATGCACGCCATCCTGTATGCTATTGCTGTTGTAGCATTGGTTGCCAAGGCAATAGCGCCAATGTATTTTTCTATTATTCATCTTTATTTCATATGACCAAAAGATTCTTCCATTTCTTATTCAGTTGAAAAATTCATGATAATGTGTAAAATGTAATTCAAACTGTTACCATAGCAACAACTATCATAATAATGGTTTCCATAGCAACAGATACATTAGAAGCCATTATTTTTGTTTCCAATGATGACACATTATATTTAGCATTTTTTTTATCCAAAAGTAGCCTTTGGACAGTGGTTTTGAAGCATCATAGTTGAAAAATCGAAAAAAAGTGTTGATGTTTATCGAGATTTAGCAACGGTTGCCATGGAAATCATGAATAAATTCCACAAAATTATATATTGACAGATTCCTCTTTGCATAGTGTGACTGTCTTCAAAATTTCAAATCGATATTTTACTCCGTTCAAAAGTTATACCAATTTTGTTTAATTGATTTGGCAATTGGGTGACACTTTTGGCTTCCACTGTTACATGCGCTTGCATGCAAGACTTTTTCAAAATTTTGTGGCCAACTTGCATTCTTATAAATTTAATAACTTTTGATTGGCTTGCTCGATTTTCAAAAAGTAAAATGTTTTAGAAAGCTCTTGAATTGATCTATCAGAAAACATCAATTTGACCGAAATCAATGTGAGTTACAAAAGTTATCTGACCTCCCTACTTCTACAAGCATAAGCTTCACAAATTACTTCAGAAACATACAATGTACTATCTACAACACTAGTAAAAAGGCTTTTAAATTCTGTCTTTGAACTTGACCAGCTTTTAAATTTAAGCAAGTTATGAAGCATCTGGGTGACGTTGATCACTATATACTCCTTTAATATATATATATATGTTAGTGGAGTATAATCTGTACAGTTTGCTGCACATAAAGGTAAAGAGCACAGTTGCTGTAAGCAAGGAGTTATAACAGATTATAACTCCTTGCTGTAAGTACATGTAAAAGTCACCCAGAGTTAAGAGAGTCACTGGAAACTTGCCACTTTTATCAGCTTGTCTCTGCCATCTCCAGCATTATAATAACAGCTACACTGTAGGGTGGAAATATGCTCATAATAAAGGTGAGCTTCCCCCAGTGACCTCTCAAAGTCAGGGTGGTAAAATAACAGAATACAGTGTGACCAACTACTGCAATACAAGAGAGTATGAGCAATAATTTTGCAGTAACATCAAAATTTATTTAATGGAAAAATACACCTACAGTATAGTTAAGTAACTGTTAGCAAAACTAATGATGGCATACAGTATATCATATACAACTTGTACATGTTAATAATACATTTCCCTCAGGATTCTCCTAAGATGTTCTCCCAAGTGTATTTTCTAATGGAAGCCTTTTCTCCATAAATCACATCATACACTAGACTAGTACATGTATATATTTAAAGTGTGTACCAGTACATGGGGCTTTCCTCTGTTTACCTGGTCAGGTCAGTTACAGAAACAAGTAAACGTGAAAGGGGTCACACGGAACTTTCAATCACAATTATGAGCAAAACAGGTGAGGCATTTTTAACATATACGCTTGTTACTTCTGAAATAAATTTTTGTACCACTGAAAATTTCAGTGGTTTTTATTTTTTTCCACACACCCACAAACACACACACACACTACTAATAATTACATACCTTCACAGTGGTGCTATATTTGAGATGTGTTTTAAAGTTGTGTGAATGGACCAAAAGAAAACATCTTTACTTATGTTTTTTTTTAGGTTAAATGAGGTCAGGTTATAAACTGGGTAATAATTGGGAAGAACAGAGATATTAAGGTAAACTATAATATTTATTCTAGGACAGATGCCATGTATTCTAGGACAGATGCCATGTATTCTAGGACAGATGCCATGGTACAATGATATCTTGAAGAATGTTTAACCTAAATTGGCCAAAACTGGGTGACACTGGAAAAACCTTTTTATCTTCAATGTATGTAAATAAAGTTCACCTTGAAATGCCCGGTTTACTATGTTTCTGAAGTTATCAATGTCCAAATTATCACTTGTTTTTTTTAGCAATATCAAGGGTGACTTTTTTTTTTTTTTTTGTTTCCTACAAATGGCCAAATTTGCTTTCCTACACAGTGACCAATATATAATATGATACTTTTGTCAGGGAGGGTCTAAAGCAACATTTTATCAGTGCTTTGCTAATTAGCCATCATTAAACCTTACTGTGACACAATGCCCTGATTGTGCTAGTTGTGATGCCTGGCTCAACCAATCACAATTAAATATTAATAAAATGGTTGGAAGAAAAATATCTGGAGAGAAATTGCAACCCGACCTTTTTTCCCTTTTTTCCCCAGTCTTTGTTTTTATTTCAAAATTACTCTTCTATCTTTATGTTGCTAAATCAGAGATACTTTATCTGTTTTGGCATAAGATCAGGATTACATCATCAAGTTAAACTAAATTTAGATGATGGTCAAGACAGGACAGTCAGGTTGTTGTCCAGATCGAAATGTCATGTCCTCAGCAAAAGTAGCAGCTGCTGTAGATGTAGAGCAAGGTGCATGTTTATCCAGTTTATGACAGTATAAGCCTGTATTTGTTTATCCAAAGATCCAGCTTACTTTCTTAACATCTCTATCTATGACTGATTTGAGTCTTTTCAGTCTGATATGACAAGGATAAGTTTTTCTCAGCATGTTACGGAAACTGCCCAACATTCATGCTGTCCTCTTAGTGGGTCTATATCCTGTGCTTTTTGCCTCAATACCCTCCATAAACAGACAAACACACATGCATGCACACACCCACATGCATACAACATATATTTGTACAATGTGTCAACCAATCATCTAAGAATTTACAAAGGAAAGGGTGGGTTAGCATCAAGCTCTCTTGATCCAGGTCTAAGTATAACATTAAACCTTGTGTGAACAAGTCTTAGGTATATTATAATCAAAATGAAATAAACACCCAAAGGTAGTCAGTCACATATCCATGTTTGCATTGTGGATTACCACTATGTATGAGATGAAATGATCCATAAAAAAGGTTATCTCTTCATCAGGGGTGCCTCTCTTTTGTCAACAACAAAGAACCTAGAAAATATTCTGACAAAAGAAAATATTTCTAAATGATCT